AGAGAAGGGAGAGGGTAGGGAGGTGCACCGTCACAAGGTCAGAAGCCGGGCAGATGGAGAGGGACTCGACAGACCGCGGGTGCACTGAAGCGACAAATTGTATTTGTAAATGGAAATATCATTCTCTTCTCATTTTGTATCATTTTCTTTTGCTTCTGATGAGCCTTACCTTGAAATTTAAAAAAAGTAGTAGGGAAAGGTATCTGTGATTCATGAGGTCACGCACATATGATGTACCAGATCTCAGAACACCAAAAATGTTATTGTACCCGGCGCGCTCCCAAAATTATTGTGCCGGAACCAAAATTAACATATCAGAATAGGTGCAATTTACAGCTCTTCAGGGTCATCCACACACCTCCTTCTCTGGCTACGCTCAGATTTCCCCTGTACATTAATAAGCCCAGCTTTTGGGCACAAAACTCATTCTCTGTTCCACCCGGACTGGGTGGCGGGGGCGAGTTTTGTAGCCCATTGCTCTTAGCCCTCACTATCCTTTCCCCCTTCTTTTTATTTTTTTTTTAGTTTCCTCACCCCCCCTCCTTGTGGGTCAGGCTTATAGAATGGAAGGTTTAAGGGGTTAGGTCACGCTTTGGTGAGACCGGGATAGCAATAAGTACATGGGGTAGGGAGATGTTGCTTAGGGTATCTGTAATTACTATTAAGATATATCGTTTAAGTTCTGGTAGGAGCAACTGACTAAGTAACTAGGTTGTGGGGGTATTATAGGATCGTTTAGATTGTTATATGTATGTAAATGTGAATAGTGTATATAACTTTGTTAGGTTTATGGCTGTTTTATTGTATTAACTGCAACATTGGCTTAATAAACCAAATTTGAGGCGAATAATATTGTTGTCTTATGTCGACGTGCATAGAACGTCAGTTCGTCTCATCGCACACTTGGAATCAGTTTTCGAGGTCCCCGCATTCGTGGTCGTCGCTTCGCCAGATTTTCGAAACCATCAGTTCAAGCGGAGGCGAGGCCCCCGGAAGTCCGGTAGTCACCTCCCAGTTGTCGTCAGGCGCTCACAGCAG